CTTAATTTTGTTTGTTTGATGTCTCACATCCAGACTATTAGATCTCAATTATTTTTTAAATAAATTAAATTAATACTATTGGCTATTTGATGTTTCTCAATAAACTTACAAATCTCCTTCCAAAAAACTATATACAAACTAGTTAAACTATACTTAAGTTCATGGGTTTGGCATATCATTTGAGTAAATTTTGAAAGAACTCTATAATTTAACTATAGTCGTAGATAATTTTGCCACACCCATATCCCTATTGAAGTATATTCTTCTTAGTGCAAAATTCTTTTACACCATAGTATGAAAAGTCAATATTGAAACACCAAGGCTCCGTTTGGTAAGCATTTCAAAGTATAGTTCTATTCATTAATTTGAGTGTATTGTTTGTTTGGAATTTTCAAATCATAATTGTACACCCATTCTCAAAACTCAATTCAAAACATAATCATTACTTTTCAAAACTCGTAACCAAACACATAATTCAAAACTCTTTTCAAAACTCAATTCAAATCAATATTTTAATTTTTTAAATATTTTAATATTTTAAAAATATTTTAATTTTGTGAGAGACAGATAAAGAAGAGAGATAGAAAGAGAGACACAGAGATAGAGTGATGAGCGAGAGAGAGAGATAGACAAAGTGGTTGCTAAAAGTGTATTTTCTTATAATGGATCGATAAATCGAGAAAGAGCTCGATAAATAGAGAAGATGAGAGTAAGAGAGTGAGCAAGACGAGCATAGTGAGGGAGAAATAGTTTCGAGTTATGTGTTTGGTTATGAGTTTTAAAAATAATTTTTTAATTGAGTTTTGTTTTATGTGTTTACAATTTGAGTGTAGAGTTTTTTTAAATTTAAAATATTAACATTTTAAATTATTTCAAATTTTTGAATATTTAAATTTTTACGATTTAGATTTTTTCAATATTTATTTTAATTTTTTACTTATTAAATTTTTTAGATTATTTAAATTATTTAAATATTTATGTTTTAATTTTTTTGAATATTTATTTTGAAAAAAAATTATTTCCTTTGTAATATTTTCAATTAAAAAATTGATTAATGTTATTTTCTGTTAATAATAATTTTTTTTAATTGAATTTTAAAAAACGTTTGGTTATAAGTATTGATCAGAATTTTTAATGATGTGAAAGTAGTTTGTTTTGTTATGAGTTATATAATTTGAATTAAGTTTTGAAAACTCTTTTCAAGACTTATAACCAAACAAATTTTCTTACTTCACATATCAAATCAAACTTTCAAAATTCAATTCTACACTCAATTCAAAACTCAATTTAACACTCTATTAAAAAATTATAACCACACAAATTTTCTAGACTCAAATTATAATTTCACAACTCATAAATTCAAAATACAACTCATACTCTCAAATTATATTTACAAAACTCTACCAAACACAACCCAATTTTTACCCTTTGTTTTCACTTCTTTTTCGGGTGAATTTGTTTTATTTTTGTTTTGTTTCGTTTCGTTTCGTTTCGTTTTGTTTTGTTTGTTTGTTTTTTTTTTTTTTTGGTGTGTAATAAGGAGCAAGTATTAAAGAAAATTAAGGTCTCGTTTGTGAACCCTCCATTTTAGTTAAAAAGTCAAAAGTTATTAAATTAGCCAAAAAACTAACAATTCATACCAAAAAGTCAAAGATTTTATTTTCTCTACTTTTTACACGTCTTTTTATAAAAAGCCAAAAAATCATTCCAAACATACTAATTTTTTTTAACTTATATTTTAACCAAATAACTAAAAAATTACTAAATTAACCTCTACCCAAACGAGGCATAAGCGGTTACACAGCCAGGGTAAAAAGCCCTCCTAGCATCTTCAAAGACTGGAAAGGACATTTGTAAGGATTTTTGCCTTTCGTTTTCACTTCTCTTGTTTTTCTTCAACTTTTTTTTTTTTGAAATTCTAATAATAATTAAATTCTAATGTTATTCCCTTGTTAATAAAATGAAAATATTTTTCTATTACAAAACACCTCGGTTGATAATTTATTGCCTCTATCTTTACAATTTCAAAAAACCGTGCAAATGTCCTTTTGAGCCATACATAAGAGCACATTCAAGGAACAAAATAGACATACCAATAGAAAAAATAAATAAAAATAAATTATTATTATATAATTCTTTATAAAAAATGATGTGTTTATAACATTATTATAATTAAAATCTATTGTTGTGACAGACACTTTGGTGGAAACCACATTATTTTGTATTTTTGTTTTGTGCTTTTTTTTTTTTTTTTTTTTTTTTTTTTCCTTTTTTTTTGCCCCCCCCCCCCCCCCCCCCAAAAAAAAAAAAAAAAAAAAGAAAAGAAAAAAAAACATAGAACATCACAAGTTAACATTGGGGAGGGGAGATTTTGGGTTGCAAAAAATTAATTAAACATAATACTTGGTGAGCAACAAAATCTTAATGGTTGAGTAGATGAGTTAGGTCTCATTTGAGAATATGTTTTTAGTAATTTTTTAATTTTTTAATTAAAATATGAGGTAAAAAATTAATATGTTTGGAATGACTTTTTAGTTTTTTTTTTTTTTAAGGAAAAATGTGCAAAAAATAGGGAGAAAATGAAAATTTTGACTTTTTGGTATAAATTGTTAATTTTTTAAAAAAAATTATGAATTTTTAACTTTGAGACTAAAAAAATGATATTGCCAAAGAAGACCTTAATCTTTAATTACAGTTAAGTTGGTTTGCCAAATATAAACTATATAATAAATTTTTAGACCTAGTATCCCTTCGTTTGGCATAGAAGGTTTTTGGGGTTTTTGGTTAAAATAGTCACAAAAAGATAAAATAAGTTTTTTTAGCCCAATAAAATAAAATGTCACATTTAAACTATAATTATTTTATTTTTTCTCTCACAAAAGTCAAAAAAGTCAAAAAATCTATCTTAAACGAGACTTTTTAACCCCCGGCTAAAATAACAAAAAAGTTAAAAAACCAAAAAATCAACCTACATCCCAAACGATTGGACCATTTTTTAATATTCTACATGAATTTATATAACAAACGTCACAGAAAAAGTAATTTCTGAATAAAATAAAATAAAAAATTTACTAAAGATTAATAAAACTTGAAAATGTGTAGTTTTTATTTTTTATTTTTTATTATCTTTTGTGAATTTTTTTGTTAAATTTCTTTACAAATATTTTATTTTTTGAAAAAAATACAAAAAATAAATAAATCAGAGTTTGAGCATTATAATAAAATAAATTATGAGTTTTAAATTTTATCAATTTAAATTTAAATTTTTTGATTTATTTTCAATCTAAATTATTTATTTATTTTCTTTAATTAAAACTTTCTGAAAAAAAAAATAATAAAAAAAAATATATTGTTGTCATTAAACTCAATATATATATATATATATATAAATGTCCAAAATATCCATTTTTCTTGAATTTAGGCATGTTTGTTTCACAATTTGAGTGGTTGGATTGGACTACCATAGCTGTAGGTCCCACCCACAACATTTTTGGTAGTAAAATGGAAGGGCAGATTGATAATTTAAGGGGTTTAGTAATCCCCCTCACTAGGGAGGGATTAGCTTGGCTGAGTTTTGGGTGGGATTAGGAAAATAATAAAAGGATTGATTCTATTTTATATAAAAAATTTATTTTTTTAATTTTATTTTTTTCCTAAGTGCACCCGTTTGTTTTAAGATTTGTTTTAGTTTTTTTTAATATAAAAATAATTTATTTATTTATTTTATATAAAAATAATTTAACAATCACGTCACTAATAATCTCCTATACTATCATCAAAACAAACACATTTTTACTTAATCTCCTCATTAACAATCCTTACATTAACAATCTATTCACTAATTATCCTCTCACCAATAATCTATCCAACTAATCTGCCAAAAAAATATAGCCTTAATGACTAAAATACATTTTTTTTGACACTTTTATTTAACAAAAATAAACAAATAGTTTAAATTAAAAACAAAACTCATAATTTATTTGTTACAAACTTCAAACTCTACTTTTGTTTTATTATAATTTTTGCTTTATTTTTTATTGCTACATTTTAAAAAATTAATTAACATTTAAAGTAATTTCACTAAAAAAATACCAAAAAAAAACAAAAAAACAAAATACCAAACAGTTTGTTTGGTTTCAGTTTCTTGAATTCAATTTTATGAAAATTGAGATTTTTTTGTTTTTAGTGAATATTTAAACAATTATTTATTTATTTAGATGCACCTTATTTAGATTTATCTAAATAGTAAAATATTTGTGAAAAATATTTTAAAAAATTAATAAATAAAAAATATGAAAAATATATTGAATTTTCGTTTTTTAAAATATTTTTGTGTGTGTTTGGTTTGAGTTTTTTGGATTAATTTTTTAAAAATTGAGTTTTTTTATTTTTCGCATTTTTTTATTTTTAGTGAATATTTTTAAAATTTTAAACATTTTTTTTTTACTTTTTTAGATGCACCTTATCTAGATGTATTTAAAACGTAAAAAATTTGTGAAAAAATATTTTAAAAAATTAATAAATACATAAAAATACGAAAAATATATTGAATTTTTGATTTTTTTAATATATATTTTTGATATTTAGTGAATTTTTAAAAGATTTTGTTCATAAAAATTATATTTTTTATGTGTATTTATGTTAGGTGTGTCTAAAAATTAAAAAAAAATTACTTAAAATATTAAAAAAATTCAGTAAAAAAAATAAAATAAGAAAGTAAAATTTTCTTAAAAGTTTTTTTAGAAAACCAAAAACAAGCAAAATGTTTGATATTTAGTGAATTTTTAAAAAAAATTACAAATATTATATTTTTTAAATATATATATGTTAAGTGTGTTTGAAAATTTAAAAATTTACTTAAAATATTTTTAAAAATTTAATAAAAAAAAAGAGTAAATTCTGAAAACTGAAACTTACGGAGTAAAAATAATTTGTGAATTTGAAATTGAAATCCGGACAAGTTTTTTTTTTTTTTCTCTCTCTCTCTCCTCCGGCACTATAGATACAGCACAGCGACTGTTCTCACTCTCCCTCTCTTTTCTCGCTTTTTCTTCCCATCCATTGTCGCTTACTATCCACTTGTAAGAGACAGAGGCACCGGTAAAGTTTGGTTCCCCTCTGATTCCAGTTTCTATTATCGTAACAAAAAGGACGATACCGAAACGCGTAAAGACGTATTTGAAAAACGAGTGTGATCATCATCATTGTCTTCATCGTCACAAGCAAGCCTGCAATTTTGCAGTCTCATGATTGTTTTCTCTTTCAGTTACTCCTCAGATTCTTCAATTATTGCCTTTTTGTTTTTTTGAATTACCTGGCGGTTTATATATATATATATATATATTAGGATCATGAACATGGCCTTCCATTCTCATCTCAATTGATGCTCTTCCATTCTTATTTTCCTTTTCCGCTTCGGGATTGCCAAAATATTCTCTTCATTTTGTGGATCTGATCTGAATCATCTGATGCCAAACTCAAGAGTACTGAAGCTTCCTGTAAGTGAAGAAGTTTATGACTTTCTGCTCGCTCCTTTTCTTCTGCTTTTGAACTTTCTCTGTTGGATCTCTTCATGTGCTTTCTTGTTTGGTTGCTGGAAAATCGGAAGAAAATGACTGCTTTTTGACTGAGGAAATATAGGCGCATTGACCAACCGTTTCCTCATTGTTTTGAATTTGCAGATTTTGAACTAAATCAGGATTGAGGTCGAATCGAATCTCTTAGAAGATGCGTGAATTGGCCAAAGAACGTACTCCTCTCAGATCTTTACTGTAAGTTGAATCATCATAAATCAATCACAATTAGTTTTTGCAATTTGCATCGAATTTTTACTCGTATGTCTCCCAATTAGCTCCGATTTGAAGTTTTTTTACTAGATCTTGTAGCGTTGAGTGACGGTTTTCATTTGAAAATTGCAGCTTTTGAAACTCTCAATCAAAGAGTGATTAGATTCGAAAAAAAATGGGGAAAACAGGGAGAGATTGGACACAGATCTACTCAATCTACGGCATGGACGATTGGCAAACTCCAGTATTCCTCCTCCTACACGCGATCGTCTTTTCATCTCTCTCCGTACTCTTTCTCATCTACTTCAACCCGATCTGCGCCTTCTTCGAGTCTCTCTTCCCTAGCGTCCCGTGCGGCGCCACCAGATTCGCCGCCGGATTCACTGGCTCCGTCACTGCTCTCTCCGCCCTCTGCCTCTTCTTCGCCGCAGGCAACATCTTCTACTCCGCCGTCTCCCTCCACTGGGACATGGCCCAGCGCATGGTCACCGCGGTCAACGACTGGTCAACGGTGAAGCACGCACTCGACGTCGGATGCGGCCGCGGCATCCTCCTCAATGCGGTCGCGATGCAGCTGAAAAAGGAAGGGAGTTCTGGTCGGGTCGTCGGGTTAGACCGGAGAAAAACAACCGTATCGACGCTCCGAACTGCAGGGATGGAAGGGGTTCAGGAGTACGTCACTTGCCGGGAAGGTGACGCGAGGAGGCTGCCGTTCGCCGATAACTACTTCGACGTGGTGGTGTCGGCGGTGTTTTTGCATACGGTGGGGAAGGAGTTGGGGCGGACAACGGCGGCGGCGGCAGCGGAGAGGATGAGGGTGGTGGGGGAGGTGGTTAGGGTTTTGAAGCCAGGTGGGGTGGGAGTTGTGTGGGACCTAGTGCACGTGCCGGAGTACGTGCAGAGGTTGAGGGAGTTGAAGATGGAGGATGTTTGGGTTTCTGAGAGTGTAACTGCTTTCATGGTTAGTAGCCACATCGTATCGTTTCGCAAACCAAGTCAGCATGTTGTGGGCTTTGGTGAAGTCAGGCTTGATTGGAGATTCAACAATATCTGTTGATCTCCCAACCAACCCACCCCCAAATTAAATAAAATCTTAAAAAAATAAAATAATAGAGAAATTGAAATATAAATAAGAGTAATATTCGAAGTATCAAATGTACGCAACTTTATTACCGCGTCCAGAGAGGTAAGTTGTTTTAGTAGTTTCAATTTGTGATGCAAAGTCACAATGAAATAATCTTCCTCCTTTGTTAATTTTTTTTTTTTTTTTTTTTCTATTTTGTCTTTCAAATCTGTTAGAGACGAAGCCGATCCAGATGCTTTTTTGTTTTTTTTTTTAGTTAAATCAAATCCAAATACTTTGTTTGGAAAATGAAATGTAATGAGTTCAAAAATAGAGAAACATAGATATACTGTATTGATGCTAAAGAACCATGTATGTACTAGTATAACTTTGAAATTCGGAATGAAATGGTATAGCGCACTATTGTGGGTGTTATGGGTTGTGACTTTTGGGCCTCTTTAATTAGTAAGATTAATAGTGAAAAAATTAATAATTATTAATATATGATTAGTTATTCAGTTAAATTAGTGAGATATATAATTCTCTCTTCTTTACGTTTGTTTTGTAATAAATATAAAAATATATAAACTCAATTATAAGTATGTTTTGAGTTATTGGTTGTAAAATTAAAAAAATTATCAATTTTATTGGATAGAATAATCATTAAAATTTAATTAAAATAATAAATTTTGTAACTAAATAATAAAATATAAATTCCATAAATTAATAATTTCAATTTATACTATGCGCAGTTAAATCAAACAAGCCCTTTAGGTGTTTGGATTTTAATTGATTTGTACGGAGTCGTTGTGTAGTCACCATCTTTGGATGGGAAAATGAGCATATAGTGGCAGGTTGGGTGGGGGAATGAGTTTCCTTTCAAATTTACATTATTGTGCACACTCACACCTCGTGCTTAGTAAGGTGGGATCTCTACATTGAGTAGAATTATTGAGTTAATAATTTTGAAGTAATATGATAAATTTGTTTACCTAGTGTTATTAGTGTAACCAAAAAAATTTGTTGATACAACAATATTAATTTATATTTCTTAAATAATTGAGAGAAATAATAATTCATTTGATATATTTTGTAATTTTTCAATTAAGAAAAGTATCATATATTTAATATCACATAGTATTATCGAGTTACTTTTAAAATTATTCAGTCATTCAAAAGTCATGAGCCAGTGAAGTAGTTCTCAATCAAATAGTTGAGGAAAAGAAATAGATATTGTCAATCTTATCTTCTACCTTTTTAGCTTCATTTCACTTATTTTGTGAGTATTGATCCAAAAGTACAGTAACATTGTAATAAAATGATATTTTAAGATAAGAATGCCAAGTAAGCACTTACCACAAAGGTTAAGATCATCTCATTTCAACAATAGCCTATGAAACTATCAAATAGGTAACCTTTTTTTTTTTGTTTTTTTTGTGATTAGCTAAGACAAAGACCAAACTAGAATGGAATTTAGTACTCGTATAAAGGTAGGTGTTTCATTGCTTAAGTCAAACGTATACACAAAGATATGGGTATGCCATCCAACTAGGCCTCGTTTGGGAACTGACTAATTTAATAATTTTTTAGTTATTTGGCTAAAATATGAACTAAAAAAAATTAGTATGTTTGGGATGATTTTTTAACTTTTTACGAAAAAATGTGCAAAAAGTAGAGAGAAAAGAGAATCTTTGACTTTTTGGTATGAATTGTTGGCTTTTTGACTAATTTAATAACTTTTTAATTTTTTGGCTAAAAAAGAGGGTTCCCAAACGAGGCCTAAGTTTACTTGATATTCAACTGTTTGCATGTTATACTCAGCCTCCGTTTGGGAAGTGGGTTGGCTTTTTGGCTTTTTGGCTTTTTTGACTATTTTAGCCTAGGTTAAAAAGCTTGGTTTGGGAAGGACTTTTTGGCTTTTTGACTTTTTGACTCTTTTGACTTTTTTGTGAGAGAAGAGTATAATGATTATGAGTTGAATGTGATGTTTTGTTTGTTGTGGCTAAAATAACCTATTTTGTCTTTTGTGACTATTTTAGCCCCAACCTTACTTGCCAAACGGACCCTCAATAGGGTTGGTGGATCCACAGGGGTATTTTTCTCAACCATTTTGGCGGTTGGTGATAAATGATTATGATAATTTTTTGGGTATTTATGAATAGGACTTTTCATAAAAGATTAGCAGGTTTATGACTATTATTTGAGAGTAGTTGAGAAAAAAAAAAATCAAAAGGTTGGGTTTTGGTCAATGTCATAGGTTGCAATCCTATATTATCTCTTGATGGCGAAACACACTGGGAGGACCGAATGAGTAGGTTTTGAAAATTAAATGGCTTGTCTCCTGTATTTACATTTTTTTGGGATAAAATTCCTGAAATTCTATGTGGGATGACATTTGTTTTTATATTTTGAATTTCTAAAGAATTTGTTGACAAGCAATAAATAGAGGAAAAAATGAATATATATATACATATATACTTTTTAGTTCATATTTTATTTATCATAAAAAATATAAGATTTAGACATAACATAAATGTGTAGGGATGAATGGAAATACAATTTTATTTACCTACAAAATGGGGGGAACAAAACATATCTATCCATGACGGGTACTTTACAGCGGGCTGCCATGCTTTGTTGAGCTCACTACTACCGGCCATATGTTCATAATTCCGAACTATGAATTTTTTAGAATTTATTTAATAAATTATTTATATAAAAAATTAAATTAATTAAATGTTTATATTTTCTTGATTAGATCACATTTGTTTTAAAAAAATTAAATAGTCTATTTTCAAAATTACTTTTGTAGTCCATTGTTTAAGACTTATATGATATAATATATGGTTACTGATTTTTTTATTAATTTAATTTTTAATATGCTTGATTTATTTAGCAAATCTTATAAAAATAATGGTTCAAATTGTGAAAAAGTCCCAAGACAGGCCCACAATGCACCTTATAATTAAAAGAAAAAATGACATAATTTTAATTTTTTGAGTCATAACTAAAAAAAATGTCATAATTAAACACAACATGAGATATAACTAAAGAATTCAGGAGTCATAACTAAAATAACATTATAATTAAAGAAAAAAATTGGTCATATCTAAAGAAAAAAATGGCATAATTAGAAGTGCATATGGTACACCATTTTTAAAGGGATGTGTATTAGAATTTTCCATTGGCTAAAATAGTAGGGAATCCTACTAAAATTGTGTTTGAATTTTAAATTTAGAAGATATTTGTAGTGTAAAGAGAAAAGAAGAGAATGAAATAATAACTAATTTTTTTCACAAACCTCCTTCACTTTTTTTAATATATTTATTGCTCAAATCTTTTACAAATTTAAGATTTAAACACAAGATATATGAGATTTATCATACTATTTTAATCAATAAAAAATATATTTTGTTCAAACAACCTGTCTGTTTTGTGGAGACAAAATAATTTTTCTAGAATAAAAATGGACCATAGACAAAAAAAAAATTAATGCTTATCACAAAAGTTGGGACAGTAATTATTGATTTATAGGGCAAGATGAATATGAAAAGGGCATGGAGAGGTTCTCATATCATTTGGTTCAATTTGAAAGTTTCCAATGAGCCTTGTAAATGTTGTCACAAATGAAAGGCTGAGATTATTTTGTAAGTGTATTATAATAAATAAAATGGCAATTAACTTATGTATCATGTAATGATTAAAATTAAAATTTTAAAATGTGACTTATTTTAATAATATAATAAGTGTTATTCATGATTGAAAAAAATTATAAAACGAGTATTCTTGTGTCTGCACCTTTTCTTTTGATGAATAAAATAAAAAATAAAAGTTAATTAATAGAAGATGACCAAAGTCTAACTAACTTTTTTTTGGGATGTATTTATAACTCTGTGTTTGGTTGGAGGATTTAGAGAGGGATTTGGAAAGGGAAACGGAAAAGGTAGGTGAAATGTCAATAAAACATGTTTATATGTTACTTAGTTTTACACACCTTTTCCCTTTCCTTTTTCAAATCCCTCCCCAAATTTCCCAACCAAACACAGCATAAGAGTCTCTATGTACTACAGAGTCATACACAATAGGTATAGAAGGGCTTGCAAATACAGAGAATATGCAGGCATTTCTTCAAAATGACCTTAACACTATAGTGATAAAGAATCAGTGACTTAGAATTAACGGACAGTCTCACACCCCCAACATTTACCATGAGATGCAAAATTTCCTATCTGCCAAATTACTTCAGCAGTGTTTGCTTCACTAGAATAAAAATATAATAGAATGGAAAAAAAAAAAAAAAATCCTCATTTTAGAATGACTATTTCTTTATAATAGTGAATATTAATTTAATTTGTAATATATATATATATATATTAATAAAAACTAAACATAAGAATAAATATTATAATAAAATTATCATTTCATTTCACTTTGATTTTAGTAAATTAAACACTAACTTAGAAGTAAATTTCTAACCACCAGGGCATTGCCCTTGTATCCACAAAATGACAATCATCTTGTTTGGTTTTGGTTTTCAAAAAATATTTTTTTAGAAAATTATACTTTTTTTTATTTTTCATATTTTTTTGTTTTCAATGAATTTTTTTAATATTTTAAACAATTTTTTTTTTTAATTTTTAAACAGACCTAACATAAATACACTTAAAAAGTATAATATTTGTGAAAAAATCTTTAAAAAATTCACTAAATACCAAAAATACAAAAAAAAAATAAAATTCAATGCATTTTTTTATATTTTTATGCATTTATTAATTTTTTAAAAATATTTTATTATTTAGATACATCTAAAACAAAAATATTTCAAAAATATTCAATAAAAACAAAAATGGGATTTTTATTGATAAGTCCAATTTAGAAGTGTTTTAATCTAAGAAGTCCATGAAGGAATTTTTTAACCCATTTAGTCCCATGTATGTATAGTTTTATTCCATAAAGTCCATTTTCTTGATTTACACTATTTTCTTGGACACTGATGCCCTTATATTTAATTTTGATA